TTCGCGGACGCTTCCGCCCTGAGGCCGCATCAGGAGGGGGCGGCGCGCGCGGGCTGGGCGGCCGTCGCGACGTCGCGGGGCCGCAGGCTCGACAGGGGGCCGCTGGGCGCCGCGCGCTGGGCCACGCGCGCATCTTCACAGAGGCTGCGCGATGGCGCTGCACGGCTGGGGCGCTGGCCGCGGGCGGCGCCTGGGTCGGGGCCGCCCATTCCGCGAGGTTCGTCATAGGCGCCGGCGCCTCGCCGACGAGTTGGGGGACGGGGCCATCCAGGTCGCGAAGGCGAAGACCCGCGAGACGCCCGAGGACGCGAGACAGGGCCGCCGCGCGGACTGGCAGCGGCGCGGCAACCACACGCGTGGATTAGAAGGCCAAGGATGCGGCGGCGGCGCACACCTTCGACGACGATCAGTTGGCGCGCCCGGAAGAGGCCAGCCGCCTGGCGGGCAGGATTGCATCGTGGATCGGCGGCGCGGCGCAAATAGGCGGGGAGGCGCGGTTGACGCCACGCCCTTGGCCTGGCAGCAGTGAGCTGCTGCGAGGAGGGCTGCAGGCAGCGGCGGGAGAGCCGCGCGAGGCGCAAGGCCCATCCTGCCGCGGGGACCCCTGCCGCCACCACGGGTCGGCGCTGATCGCGGGCGGCGGCGCTACGCGGGCGCGCGCGGAGCGCGGGCCTCGGCGAGCCCGCGATCGGCGGCATCGGCGCGACCCCGGGCGGATTTCGAAGTGGTGGAGGACGAGGCGCGGCGGCAGCACCGGCGGCCCTCGCGAGGGCGGCCGCCGGCGCGGCCAGCAACCAGGAGGGCCCGCCCCGTCTGCGAGGTCTTGGGCACTCGGGACTGCAGGGCACGCCCTGTCCAGTCGGCGAGGAGGACCGCCGGTTCGAGAAGAGGGGGCTCGCCTGCGGGCGCTGCGAACCGCTGCGCGGCGACCTGTTCGCGGACGCATCCGCCCTGAGGCCGCATCAGGAGGGGGCGGCGCGCGCGGGCTGGGCGGCCGTCGCGACGTCGCGGGGCCGCAGGCTCGCTCGACAGGGGGCCGCTGGGCGCCGCGCGCTGGGCCACGCGCGCATCTTCACAGAGGCTGCGCGATGGCGCTGCATGGCTGGGGCGCCGGCCGCGGGCGGCGCCTGGGTCGGGGCCGCCCATTCCGCGAGGTTCGGCATAGGCGCTGGCGCCTCGCCGACGAGTTGGGGGGCGGGGCCCTCCAGGTCGCGAAGGCGAAGACCCGCGAGACGCCCGAGGATGCGAGACAGGGCCGCCGCGCGGACTGGCAGCGGCGGGGCAACCACATGCGTGGACTAGAAGGCCAAGGATGCGGCGGTGGCGCACACCTTCGACGACGATCAGTCGGCGCGCCCGGAAGAGGCCAGCCGCCAGGCGGGCAGGATTGCATCGCGGATCGGCGGCGCGGCGCAAATAGGCGGGGAGGCGCGGTTGACGCCACGCCCTTGGCCTGGCAGCAGTGAGCTGCTGCGAGGAGGGCTGCAGGCAGCGGCGGGGGAGCCGCGCGAGGCGCAAGGCCCATCCTGCCGCGGGGGCCCCTGCCGCCACCACGGGTCGGCGCTGATCGCGGGCGGCGGCGCCACGCGGGCGCGCGCGGGGCGCGCGGGCCTCGGCGAACCCTTGATCGGCGGCATCGGCGCGACCCTGGGCGGATTTCGAAGTGGCGGTGGACGAGGCGCGGCGGCAGCAGCGGCGGCCCTCGCGAGGGCGGCCGCGGCGCTGGCAGCGGTGAGCGTCGAGGGCTACGGATGAGCCAGCGCGGCAGGCGAGGCCGAGGAAGATGGCCATCGCCACGCGGGGCCGCCGCCGCCACCGCCACCGCCGCCACCGCCCACGGCGAGGCCGGACTGGCGGAGCCGCCCCGTGCACGAGGCGCACAGACTCTGGCAGGCTGGCGACGCGGCCTTCTGCTCCGCCAGGACTCCAGGACGCCTGGACGCGTCGCGGCATGCCCCGGAAGACCGCGGGGGAGTCGAGCGAAGGCGGTGACGGGCCGCCTCGAGCGAGGCAAGCACCCGGCCAAGAGTGGACACCCCGGCGCGCTCAAACTTTTTCGGCGCGTGCAAGGGGGGGCGCGGGCGCAGCCGATCGCCAGCGCGAGACTGAGTGGGAAAGGTGCTGCACGCGCTCTTTTTCTCTCTCTCTCTTTCTCTCTCTCTCTCTCTCTCTCTCTCTCTCTCTCTCTCTCTCTATATATATATATATGTATCCCTCTCTATGTGTGTTATCTCTTTATATATATACACACACTTATATTCCTATATATGTATATATACATGTGTCTCTCTTTCTGTTCCTGTGCTCGCAGCATCTTTCGTGAGGGGGGGAGGCAGCTCGCCCCCCGACCCACCCCAGAGCGTGCACCTGCCGGCGGGGGCCAGGGCCTCCCCGAGCCTCGAGGGGCCCGAGGACTGGGCAGCGTCGGGGCCTGGCTTATGAATGGAGGCGGGATCCCAATCTCGGCGCAGGTGCGCGCGTTGCCGCGCTTCGCCGGGGGCCCCAAGGCTTCCCCGAGTTTCGAGACGCCCGAGGACTGGGCAGTGCGGAGCCTGGCTTATGACTGGAGGCGGGATCCCAATTTCGGTGCAGGTGCGCGTGTTGCCGCGCTACGCCAGGGGGCCCCCGGTAGGCCTCGTGTCCGTTCCCTTTCGGTGCAAGGCCTGTTCGGTAGCGTGGGGTCAGTAGAAGGAAGGGGTGTGAGCTCTCGCTCCTCCCTTTGCTTACAAACGTCAAACATCAGCTGCACCATCGTCGTCATAATCATGATCACCATCACCGCCATCATCATCGTCATCATCATCAACAGCATCCTCATTATCACCAGCAGCATCATCAGCGTCCCCCTCTTGATCACATGAGGCCGCCCCCGAACGGGCGCCACTTGCTTATCAAGCATCCTAGGAGGGGAAGGGGGAGGGGGTGAGGGGGAGGTCAGGCCGGCCTAAGATAAGGATGATCTGCTCCAGAGCGTTCCAGAACGTTCCCAAGGCGCCCTGGAACGCTTTGGACAGGCCGCGGCGCCCGGTAAGTGTTCCAGACCAGGAGGCTCTCAGAGATTCCCGATTTATCTTCAGCCGAAATTATCCTCATCTTGCTGTCGTCTTAGGAATGGAGGGGGGGAGAGGGGGGGGGATCGCACGACCAGAGATGCGCTAATCGATACCAGCGAAGCTCGGAGGAGCGGATCGAGCAGGCTCTCATGCTGTCTTGGGTTTGGCAGCTTCTCCTTCTTTGGCATCGAGGGCGGTATGTCGGCCAGGTTCCATCGTGTCCGGGATGCTGGAGCTGGCGTTTGGGTGGGGACACAGGGGGACCCGCCAATGTTGAACACATTTGGGGCCTTGGAATGGCTGCAGTAGGCACGTCAAACAAGAAATCGATCTGCCAGCTGGTGCTCCGTCCTCATATTCCAATGGCACTGGGGCTCACAGAAGCCTTCGGGCACCTCAGGAAGCAAAAGCCTCGACGAATAATGTGCCCCAACAGACCAGATAGCAAATGTCTTATCGTCTGTCTCTTCTGTAGAGGCCTCGAGCCTCCTTTCTTTCAGCTCTCCAAACGCCGCTGGCGTCGAGAGTCTGTTCCCGTGCGCATATCAACCCTCCCTGGCCCTGGCAGATTCTTCAGAGCCCCGACTCCCGCTGGCTTAATCGGATGCTCCAGTGCCGCTTCCTGTCATCAGCATGTCCGCGCGCGACTCGCAAGATACCCAGGCCATGCCCCGCGCACGGCGGGAAGGATCCTTTGGTGACTCTCGACGAGGAGGATTTCGCGAAGGTTGTCGCGAACACCGACCGCCTCTTGGTGGAGTTCCATGCCCCGTGGTGCGACCACTGCAGGCAGCTCGTCCCCGAGTACCGCAAGGCGGGGAAGGAGCTGCGGCGGCTCGGCCTGTCCACCGTTCTCGGCAGGGTGGACGCAGCAGCCGAGCCAGATCTCAGGACCCAGTTTCGGATCGACTACTACCCCACATTCGTTTACGTCGTCAGAGGTGAGGAAACAGAAAGATTTGCCCTGCACGAGGGCAACGCCACGTCTGCCTCGATGGTCTCCTGGATCAAAGCGAGGGAGCTGAAGTCGTCGATTGTTGTCGTCGCTGAGGAGGCGATCGGGCCAATGCTGGAGAAGATCCCAAATGGAAGTTTTGCCTTGATGGCAAGAGTCAGGAAGCACTCGACAGAGGCAGAAGCTTTCTGGAAGGCGGCAAAGGACCATCTGGCGACGTGGGATCACAATGTAGCTATGCTCCGATGTATAGTGCTCTGGTTGCCGAACGGGACGCAGGCACACGAAAACACCACACTTCACATGTTCCGACCCGGATTTCCATCTCCCGAGCCGCTTCTGCTTGCGTTCGGGGGCGCCTGGGAGGGCGCAAGCATTGCTACCTGGGCGAGGCTGAGTACCTACCCCACCTTTGGCAGCACGTGCGACACGGGGAGACACTCCGCCCAGGGCATGACCGGGCTCGGCTTCGACGGCTGTGTTGCGGTCGTGCTTGACTACTCCGCTTCCACCGAGCAAGAGGAGGACGAATATCCCGCTGCCTTCGGCGAACCGCGACAGCGCAGCAGCGAAGCGCGAAGGAGGTGGAGACAAATGCGCACATCGGAGCTTCTCTGGGGCCTCTTGAGGGCCTACTTGGCGGCGCGCAGAGGGGGATAGGGGTGCAGGGGGGAAGGCTTCTTAGAAGGAGGCTGCTTCTTAGAAGGCGCCAGCCCTACATCTACAGACTAGGCCCGCGCCTTCTAAGAAGCAGGAGTGCTTCTAAGAAGCCTTCCCCCCTCCCCCTAGCCCCCTGTGCGCGCCGCCAACCTGTTGGGAACCTTTGAGGTCCGTTTGGGAGCCTTTGGTGGTCTTCAGGGGGACCTCTCTGAGGGGGTCGGCCTTCGAAAGCATGTGGGAAACTTTCCCAGGCAGCAGAGGAGCATCCTCACGCGGCCCACCGTGCACAAGGCACGGTGGCGGATGTTGGGCCTATTCTGACCAGGAAAAAGATGCTGTCGGTTCTCCGGCCGGTCTCCGTCAACGAGCCGCGCTGGTATTTCACGGCATGCCAGGCGCGAGATTTGGACAGGGGTGTGGAGAAGATGTTGGGCAGCAAGCGTACCAAGGCCTCGGGGGATAAGAGAGACCGCCCCACCCCCAGTCGTCGAGGCAGCGGCAAGAGGAGGAGTCGTGATCAAGGCTCTCGCCGGAGGAGGACGAGTCGTCACAGGGAGGAGCCACGATGCAAGCTGCGTCTGGTACGTGATTCCAGACCTCGGGCTGCTGGCCAGCAGCTCTAGCCAGGCGCGCCCAGGAATTCGAAAATCGGTGGGATCGGCCCTCTCCCCCCTCTGCCTCGACCCAGGTCGTCGGCGAAGGGGGGGGGCGGGGGTACCCGGGCAGAGAGCTCCTCGTGGCGAGTGCTGGGGCATGGCGCGTTCCAGAGGCGAGGCTCGCAAGCGTCGCCCAGGGGCATGCGCTCCTGGAGCACCGTACCCTTGCATCCTTGCCCCTTCGGCCCATCCTTGGCGACTTTCGCTGGCCAATCCTGTTCGAGAAGCACGCGCTGCGGGATGGCGAGGATAAGGGGGCTTCCGCTTTTCCTTCTTCTGTTCCTGTCTCTTCTGCTCTTTTGCTGTTCCCTCCTCGACCGCCCTTAGGCCAGCGTAGTTTGCATAATCTTGCTGATGAGTCTCACCGTTTTTCACCTCAGGGTGGTGGCCGTGGCGTATCCCGGCCGGATCCTGATCTGCCTTCGGCGCCATTCTGCTTCGAGAGCCGAGCCGAGCTTTCTCTCGGGGTGGGCCGAGACTCAGTCTGCTGTGCGCGCCGCGGCTGCGATCTGATCGCCCCCCCTCCCGGGCTCCATCCTGGCCAGATTCTCGAGCTGCGTCTGGCCGTGGCAGCGAGAGCAAGACAAACAAACATCGACGCGCAAACAAAACAGACAGACAGTCAAAGCAGACACCCGACAAAACAAACATCCGACAAAACAAGCATCGAACATGCAGAAACGACAATCGGCGCCGCGCGAGGTGGGGAAGTGAGAAGGAAAGGGCCCTCCCAGAAGGCGGCGGAACTTCTCAGAAGCCCTCCGGCCTTCTGAGAAGCTTTCAGCGTCTTCGGGAAAGGCTTCGAAAACTTCTCAGAAGACTGGGGAACTTGCGAGCCCTCTGAGAAGGCTTTCTCCTTCTCCCTTCCCCCCCTCGCTCGCCGCCGCGAGACATGAGGCCAGCGCTGCCCGATCTGGTGACGGAGCGCGCCTGAAGCTGCATGGAAGCGGGACCCGCCGCTCATCCAAGAGCCTTACAGTCGTCGTGGTCCCTTCAGGCAGGTGGTCTGAGGAGCGAAGGGGCTTTTCTGGCCACGGCGAGCCTCGGCCATGCAGAGGTCTCCCGACCTCGACCTCAGGAACGGCCCGAACAAAAAACCAGAACCCCTCTTGGGCCTCGCCCGCCGCCGCATGCAGAAACGAGAAAAAAAGAGGCAGCCGAAGAACGTCCCGCCCCGAGTGCGCCTCGCGTGCAAGGGAACCGAAACATACGAGACATGACATCCGAAACGTCCAAAACGTCCTCCTCCTCCTCCTCCTCCTCCTCCTCCTGCGACAAAGCCAAACATCCGAAGCGAAGACGTCGTCGTCCGCCTCGCGTGCGACGCACACGGCGGGGCCCTGCCGCAGGGGCCCCGCCCTCGGACCGCTCCTCTCGCGCGCGCGCGGACGCGGGAGGCCGGCGAAGGAGCGACGCGGCGCCGGTGCGGGGCGCGCTGGCGGAAGGCCAGCGGAAAATTCGACCACGCGCAAGACAAGACCCAGACCCCCTCGCGCCGCGAAAAAAAAATCACGACAGAGAGTCGTTCTTTCTATGTTCGGCCTCCGGGGGCCCTTGCCGGGCCTCGGGACCGCCAAGAAAGGACTCGGGGATGAAGAACCGGTCCCTGGGAAGGGGAAGGGGTCCAGACCGTTGGGGGGCGACGTTGTGAAAAAATCACAACGTCGGGGGTCTGGGAAGTGACCCTTCGCCGCAGTGACCTTTGGTGCAGGCTCACTGTCGGAGACGACGAGAGGGGCGAACAGCCCCAGGGCGGGCACTGCACGCATTCGCCTGGGAGCCTCGCCGAAGGCATGGATCGTCGGCGCACCCAGATACATGTATTACTCCCCCCTGGGCTATTCGCCCCCATCGTCTTCGCCCCCGACTCTAGGGTCCCCCGATCGCCGAATAGGATGCGGCAGTAGCGTCTTGCGCGCTTGTGTGTGTGTGTCCCCAAGAGGCCCCCGAAAGGCCGCGCACCAAAGGTCACTCTTACCCGGGGTCACTCTTGCGTGTAGTCGAAAGACGCTGGAAGCAACAGGAGGCGGGTAACCTCAGGAGGTCTTTAGTTTTGGTCCCCCCCCCTATTTCTCTCGGCGGTGAATAAAACTGACTCCTCCTCCTCCTCCTGCTCTTCCTCCTTCTCCTCCTCCTCCTCGTCCTCCTTCTCCCCCCTCCTCCTCCTCCTCCTCTCCTCCTCCTCCTCGTCCTCGTCTTTGTCGTTGTTGCGTGGCGGGTGCCGCGGAGAAATAAGTGTTCTCCATTAAGGGTAAAACGCAAGACTCGAGTTCGCTGGAACTCGTAGGCCACGCGCACGCGCAGAAGGGGAAAACGTGAGACTCGAGTTCCCTGGAACTCGGGTTGGCCAGCGTTTTGGCGAGCCCACCCTGGGCTTTGACGGCCCAGTTTTTGTGGGGGCGGCTGCAGCGGGAGCTCGCGTCGAAGTTCAGGCTGGGCCTCGCCATGTTCACGATGGCCCCGTCAGGCCAGCCCGAGTCACCCGAACCCGAGTCTCACGTCTCCCCGACACCTCGGCCTGGACGAGAGGGTAGGACAGAGAAGGGAGAGGGGTATGAAATCTGCTACGTGCAGCCAGTTTCCGCCCCGCCGCTGGGCACACTCCTCGGTGCATGGGCGCCTCCCGGCGCCAGGAGGCGCCCGGTGCATGGGCGCCAGGAGGCCCGAGTCCCCCGAACCAAAACCTTGCGTCTCCCCGATCCGAGGCGTGTAGGGGGAGGGGGCGGGGCTTCTCAAAAGCACCCCTGCGTCTTAGATGTAGGGCCGGGGCGCCCTCTAAGCAGCAGCCTCCTTCCAGGAAGTCTTCCCCCCTCCCCCTACCACCTCGTGCGCGCCGCCAAGGTGGGGCGTCAGCATCTTGGGACTCGAGGTTTCCGGTGTCGGCCATTTGGAGTGGGACTGGCTTAAGATTACTGCGCGGGCCATGCGGAGTGCCACAGACATCCGTCGACGTGAAGCTTTGCGTCCGCAGCAGCAAGCCTCTCCCGACCCCTTCGCTGGGGGGCAGCCCTTCGTCCTGTGCGTGGTCTTTGATGGCCCCGGGGCGCAGAAGCGGCGAGCCTGAAGAAACAGCGCCCAGACTGCAAGATCACCAATCACTCTGACGACTGAGGCCCAAAGCCTTCCTTGCCCTGAGGCGTGGCGCGGCTCTCGCATCAGCGCCGCGCGCAATCGCATCAAGAGCTTGCAGCAGCCTGAAGCACAGAGGGCGGTTCCTTTCGAAAGGGTACTCTCCCCTGAGCGCGGCGCACATTCGTTTTAAACTGTAGCAGCAGTTGCAGTGATGGAGGGCGGCTCTTTCCAAAACGTGGCTCTTGCCCCAGTGCCACGCACGTGTGCCTCCAAAGCTTGCAGCAGTTATAAGGATGCAGGGGAGCCCCTTTGCACAGTGAGGCTCTCGCCTTCGTGCCGCTGGCAGTCGTATCCAAGTGTTGCCAGTGTCGAATATAGGCGGACAAATTTAGAACATGGGCTCGAGCTTGAACATATTTAGCAACTGCCGAAAGTGCTGATAACGCACGATACATCGGCCCAATGAAAGTTCCTTGAATTTTCACCATGACGCCCGCGAGCGGAAGCCGACGGAAGTAAAACGCGGCGGAAGGCCGTCGGAAGGCTTGCGGAAGACAGCGGAAGTACATGACGCCTCGTCCGAACCTACGTACCCCCCCAGAAGCTTAGCAATGTAGTCTTCTGCCGTGGGCCGGCCGGGATCCCGCATAAATTATTCCCTTTTAGTATTATAACTTTAGTTCGGCCAGACTAAAACCCCACCCATTAGAAATAGGGTAAACAAATATCCCGGGTCGGTCACAGATCTTGCCATGCTGGGATCGGTTCGAAGTCAGATGGGGTACCGAAGTTGCAGCATTCCTGCCATGTCAGGATCGGCTTGAGGTCATTTTGAGTCATATCGTGGTCATGTTTGGATCGCGCAGCCGTCGCGTGTTCATCATGTGGCCACCTTGGGCGCGCGTGGATCTATCTTGTTGCCATCGGGCTACCTCCGGGTCATTCGTGGCGTACGTGTTTGGTCATCGTCGAATCGGCCTGAGACGGTCCAGAATCCATGGTGGGATCGTGTTGGGATGGCGTCGTCCCACGGTCGTCTGGATGTTGTCGTCTGTGGCCCCAGGCCCACCCGGAACCATCTTGTGGCAATGGGGACGTCTTGGGATCGCGCGCGCGCGAGCGCCAAACACACGCGCGCGACTACTCATCTCGCCGATGGATGCACAAATATGTTTTTCTTGTTTCGCGTTTTCAAGGAAACTTTCGCTGGGGCAAAGTAGTGTCAACCCGCATGCTAAGGAGTAGCGACTTCCCAAAATTACCCTTGCATCCTTGATCGCGCGTCCTTGTTATACAGGTTGAATGTAGGCGGCATGTTCAAGAAAGGAGGTTCGAGCTCGAACAAATCAACAGCTGCACGGATGTAGGTCGGTCCTTTCGAGAGTGCGGATATCGTACGAGATCTCCTAACACGAAGTGACCAAGTCTTGCAGTGGCGAAGCGTCTTGGCTGTCCTATAGACCAACCAAAAAATTGTCCAAGAACCCTGCACGAAATGTGATTCGAACAGTTATGGTTGGGACTGTCTTGTTTTAAAGAATTGTGTGTATGCTGTAGCGCATTGTTTTTGTTGTTAGACCATTTTTTGTGATAAGAACATGTCGTGGTAGGCCTATAGGAACGCCGGGACGGTCGGTCCCTGCTCAATTCGAGCGTGTAGACGTGGTGCAGCAGTTACACGGATGGGGGGCACTACTTGTTGAAATGGGGCATTCGCTGGATAATCTGCTGATCTTCATGATCCTGCCCTGCCGTATGCTCTGTTGCTCGCTAGCAGGATGCAGGGAAATTCCTACTCCAAGCAGGGGTCTCGTCCGAATGGCAGGCACACCGGGAGCTCGTCTTTCAGGTGTGCGCCTATTGTAATGAAAAGGACGGCTTGTGGGGAACTGTGAGGAAAGGATTTGCACCGGGAGGGTGTATAGCAGGATCGTCCTTCTCTTGAGTGCAACATGGTCCTTCTCCTCCTCCTCCTGCTCCACCTCTTCCTCCCCTCCTCCTCCTTATCCTCTGTGGCCTCTGGAGCCTCTGACGAGCCTATCGGTCACGAATCCCTTCCTCATCCTGCTCCTCTTCGACCTCTGCCTTCTCCTTTTCTTCCGCAAATACGCCCGAAGGCGCCGTTCGTCTCAGTGATGCACTGGGCCACGGGCAAGCGCTACGTGCTCGAGGGCGCCGAGGAGATCCTGAGGCCCGGGCAGGTCCGCGGCCTGCTGCAGAAGCTGAGCTCGGAGGGGCAGGGGACGCCTTCGGCCGAAGGCAGGGCGCCTTCGAATCCCCAGAACTCCTCGTGCCGCTTGCTCTGTTGATTCTCTTACTTCGCATTCCCCAAACAGTGCTTGCACTACGGGGTTCTTACATTTGATCTAAGGAACTGGGCCTGTCTGGCGGTCTGGCGGCTCCGTGATCGCCGTCGCCGCCCTGTCGCCGCCTCGTCGCCGCCCGTCGCCTGGGCCTGTCTGTCGATCTGGCGGTTCCGTGCTCGCCGTCGCCACCCCGTCGCCGCCTCGTCACCGCCCGTCGTCTGGACTTGTCTGGCAGTCTGGCGGCTCCGTGCTCGCCGTCGCCGCCCTGTCGCAGCTTCGTCGCCGCTCGTCGTCTGGGCCTGTCTGGCGGTCTGGCGGTTCCATGCTCGTCGTCGCCGCCCCGTCGTCGCCGTCGCAGCCCTGTCGCCGCCTCGCACTGATCGCACAACATAGCTTGCACCACATATATGTCCTGTCTACAAGAGTCATAGGATCTACTTCCCCCCTCCATGGACTGAACCGCTCACCTCTGCGTATTGCAAGTTGGCAGTGATTATGAACCAGCGTCTATATTAAAAATGAATTCATATCATCCCGGCCAGGCTGGCATCCTCCCGATCCTCCGCAAAAAATAGTAATTATGTACGCACATTCGTTTATCACAAAGCATCAGGTTTTAAGAACCCCTTGCAAAACAATTCGGCGAAAAGCACGCGCGCGTCGTCGCGCTCGCATGCCGAAATCCTTCAAAAACCTTGGGTATCGTAGGGATTTCAAAATCAAGTGCCTCGAAAACATGAAAACATATGGTTTCGCAACACGAGTGTTCAAAAAAACTTGCGCTCGCGCTTTGGCGAATTCTTAAGAAATCTTGTTTCAAAATTGTCATAAAATGCCACAAGCGGGCGCGCACGCCAAGATCGTTCGAACGCCTTTGCGCGCGTGTTGTCGCAATAAACCTTTCTGAAAAAACGGGACGAAGTGCACACGCGCGCGTCGTCGCGCGCGCATGTCGGAATCTCTAAAAATCTTAGGTTTCGTACGGAGTTCAAAATCGAGTGTCCCGAAAACATGTCAAACACACATGGTGGTGCAACAACAGTTGTCAAAAAAACTTGCGCGCGCTCTTGCGAATTCTTCAGAAAACCATAGGTTCTCGTTTTCAACACTTACATTCGGCCAACCAGGCTTCTCGCGCCGCATGTCAAAATCATTCGAACGCCATTGCGCGCGTGCTGGGGGGGGGCACGATCCGTGTCAAATTATACCATGCGGGCCACTCTCGCGCGTCGGTTGCGAATCATGTCAAACTCCTGCCACAACCTTCACCACCGACGCCGCGAGGACGCCGTCATCGTCGTCGGCACCGTCATTGGCCGTGACGTCGTTTATGTCACCATTGTCACCAGCATCGCTACAATCATCATCGTGTCTACCGTTGTCGGCGTTGCAATGATACCGCGCCCGCCAATGTCGCCGACTCGCACGGAAGTGCCCGCTGGGAAACTTCAGCGGTCAGCGCCAACTCGGCCGCGTCGGTCGCGCCAAACAGGCTGGCCGCTGCGCGCGCGAGCATGCGCGGGCAAGCGCGGCCGCAGCGATGCGCCGGCCAACACCAAGGACTCAGCGCAACCGCCGCCGCATGGGTTTTGCAAACCAAGTTGCGGGTGGGTGGTTGGGATGATTGCGCGAGCAGTGGACCCGACAACTCATTGCGAGCATTGGCGAGCTGCACCACATAGATTGCATCACGCAGGTTGCTCCACGTAGATTGCCCGGCACGTTTTGCACAACATCGATTGCACAACATGACTCGCCCGACATACATACATACATACATACATACATACATACATACATACATACATACATACATACATACATACACACGTACGTATATAGTACAACATATACGGCACAACACATGGCACCACATAAGTTGCACCACATAGGTTGCACAAAATTCATGTGTTGTACATGTTCAAAAGGTCCAGGGACCCCGGACAGGGAGCCCCCCCAGGGCTGCTTGGACCCCCCCCCCACACGGTTGCTCGGCCGCCCTTGAAAAGGGTTCCTTCTGCCTTCTGGCGGAGGGTCCAAAGAGGCTTCCAATATTGTCCAAGATAGCTCGTCGACAGCTGCAAAGCACACCAAAACGCCCAAGAGGAATTTAAAACGCACCCACACACGTCCACGAGGCCTCCGGATTGAGTCCACATAGCTCAAACTCGTCCTTGATTTTTCGGGTTTTGAAGGATTTCGGCGTCCTCGCCTTCTTTCGCTTCCACACTCCGCGACTGTCCAGGAGATGTCAAAAACCGCCAGAAGAGCGGCTCAAAACGACCCACGCGGGTTCCAAGACGGCCCATGATGCCCCTAAAAGGCTTCCGAGTCGATCGATCCAAACGGGCCCTTCGACGGCCCAAGAGACGGTGGCCGGACAAAAAGTGTCCACACCCATGGCGGTAAGGCGATACAACATGATGATAACCACAATTGGGAAATGCCCTTGCTTCGCACCCACCCCCCGAAGTCAAAGTTGAAGTGTCCACATTTTGTCCCTGGCCTGCGGCCTACCGCCCACACCCGTCAACTTAGAATTTGGGGGAAGGGGGGTATACATTATGGTCCGACGTGCTTCAATAACTCAAGGTGTTGGCGAGGCACGTGTGGACACTTTTGGTCCACCCACCCGAACGCCACAACGGCGCCCAACACGACCAAAACGGGCCAAGACAGCCTCAAGAAGCTTCGACAAAACCCAGGAAAGGTACCACGAACTAACATGTCGAACCTACCGCTTCAAAAATCGCCCCAGGATCTTCCCAGGGCTCCCCCGGCGCCCCCGCGACGCCTCAAGAGGACCTGATTTGTGCCTCTTGGGCCCTCTTGGGAGTGCTCTTTTTGGGGAGGCTTAAAGGCCTCTTGGGCCGTCTGGAGGCCATCTTGGGCGTCTTGGAGCGATCATCGGGCGTCTCGGACCCCTCTTGGGCCGTATCGGGGCCTCTTGGGGCCCTCTGAAACGATCCTGAGCACCTTGCCCTGGAGTTCCGGCATCCTTGAGCAGCAGTGCCCTGTGCCTGGGGTATTCGTGGACTGGGCACTCCCAGGGGCCACCATGCGCGCGCGAGCTAGAAATTGCGTAAACATGTTACCGGAATTCTTAACACGCCTCTAGCCCGCTGGGCCAGCGAATGCATGTGTTACTCCCCGCGCACGCAGGCGCGTGCACATGTATGTGTACATGCATACGTGCATGTGTGTACACGTAGACATATACAATTAGACAGAATACATATGTATGCGCACCCATAGGTCGGCGTTGAATGTATATGTATATACATACACACCACAACATGCACATATATCTATATATATATACACAAAACGTGCATGCACGTGCGCGCGTACACATGCATAATACATGCATGCGCACACCCATGCGCGAATGTACATGCGCACGCACGCCGCCGTCGCGCGAAATTCGAAGGACCAAGATGCATGGAGCGAAGCACAAATGCAGGTTTATATATATATATATATATACACATCTAGAGAGAGAGAAAGAGAGACGCATTCCTTTCTTAAAAAGTACAAGGGTCCACCTCCCCCCAGATTTAATAGCGCGCCTTTCTATTCCAATTGAAATATAAATCTGCCCCATCGCTCATCCGAAATCAGATTTCATACCATCCCATGCAGTCCCTTATCGACCCCGCTCATCCTCTGCAAACATGCAATGCGCGCACACTCGTTTGTCAAAAATCACCCGTGTTCGGAAAGACCCTGCAAACATGGGACGAAGTGCGCAAGCGCGCGTTCTCGCGCGTGCATGCCGAAATCCTTCAAAGTTTTAGGTTCCACAAGAATATCAACATTGAGTGTACGGAAAACATGTACAAGCAAATAGTTTCGCAACAGGATGTTTGGTTTAAACATGCGCTCGCGCTGTTGCGAATTCTTGGCAAAATCGTAGGTTGTTCGTCATGTTCATCACATTCGACCAAGCGTGCCTCTCGCGCCGCATGCCGACATCGTTCGAACGCCCTTGCGCGCGTGCCAGGTGGGCACGATACTTGCCAAATAGTTCCATGCGGGCCACTCGCGCGCGTCTGCCCCGCGCGCATGTCAAACTCTGTCCAAAACCTTCATCACCGACGCGAGGAGATCGCAATCGTCATCGGCGAGGTCAGCATCGGCGCCGTCATTGGCCTTACCGTCGTCATCGTCACCATCATCGCCACGATCTTGATCGTGTCTACTGGTGTCGACGTCGCAATGATACCGCGCCCGCCCTAGTCACCGACTCGCGCTGAAGGGCCCGCCAGGAAGTGCCCAGCGGTCAGCGCCACCGCGGCCGCGTCGTCCGCGCCAGACTAGATGGCTGCTGTGCGCGCGAGCATGCCCAGGCTAGCGCGACCGCAGAGACGCACCAGCCAACTCCAAACATTCATTGCAATCGCCGCCGCATGGGCTTTGCAATCCAAGTTGAAAGTGGATGGGTGGAATGATTGCGCGAGCAATCGAGCTGACAACTCCAAGTTTTCCGACACGAGTTGCATCACATCGGTTGCACCACATATTTTGCCCAACGTAGATTTCACTTCTTATATTGCTAGAAATACACGATATGGGGTCCACGCTGGCTACCATATGTTTAAAACACACAACTCACAACTGTTACAAGCGTGTGTGTGTATATCTATACGTGTGTATGTAATTTTGTATCCACATATTTGTGTGTGAAGAGCACCGCCCCCCGCCCCTCCCACCCCACCGCACCCCTTCCCCACGACGAGGAGCGGCCCCCGACGAGGAGCTCTGACTGCGCGGGCCGCCCTCCCGGAAGCCGCGGAGCGGAAGGCAGCCCTTTTCTGCGCGCCCGCGGGGGGGCGGGGCGGCCCGGCGCAGTCTCCTCGCGAGCGGGCGCGGGGCGCCGCCCGCCGCAGGGGCGATGAGGGCGGTGGGGCGGGCGGCGGAAAAGCGCAGGGCCCCTGCGCGCGCCCAGACGGCGGCAACGGCGCCAGCGACGAGGGCGGTGACGACGGTGCTGGCGACGACGG